CCAGCAAATTTCTAAACATTCCCATGACATTAGTAGCTATGGAGGGAAGTTTTAAATGACGAGCATTTTACAAGGCTTTTATGACGCAAGTAAAAGAAGCAGCAACTAAACTATCAGGATTTCAAATTTGATAAATGCCAGATTTTTCTGAGGAATCTTCATGGGAATGGGGAAATCTCACGAGTTCCTTGAGAGATCCAGGGGCACCAGCACGTAGGCACGCAGAGGCCGTGTTCAGCTTTGGTTTAAATGCACTCAACTCCTCCGCCCGCTGAAATTTCTGTTCCTGAGCCAGCTACTGGCAGTCAAACAAGGTTATTCTCCTTCAGCTCTTCGGTTTTTTTCCCCTCCTCTCCACCACAAAACCCCAACAGCGGAAGCCATCTCTCCCTCTCAACAGGCAGGCAGGGTCTGGGTCTTTCAGATGCAGAAGCTGTCTGCTTGGAGCACGCTGTGGCAGAGGAAAGCCATTTCCTGACCAAGGCCTAGGCTGGCTGTCAACTGGGCTCAAGTTTATCAAACAAGGATGCTCATAGCAAATACACAGAAATGGGAAGGCTCTACTGTTACAGGCAAAACAAACAAGCAGACACTCAGCCCAGACAGACCCTTGGGAAACAGGCACGAAATCAAAATGCGAGGTGACAACTTTTGCATCCAGTTGTGGCAAAGGACTCTTGCAAGCCAAGTGCTCCTCTTTGGATCGCTGAGGTTTTAATTATTGTGCCATAGCTGTAAACATTCAATTACATTTACAAATAGTTTAACTTGGTGCTTCCAGGAGAAGAGGGATCAACTCAAACTCCATCTGCCAGTTGGCGATGAGAAAGGTTGCATAAAACAGGATATGAAGAGCAGACACATTTTAATTAGGACTCCTGAAGCTCTCTATTTTAAGCAAATGAGTTACGACTCCAACATATGCAAGAACACGGCAGCATAAAGCAAACAGTTCCGAAGTGACTGCTGCAAAGACGCACAAGCTGTGCTCAAGCTGGAAGGCAGCTGATGGAGCTCCAGAGCTCGCTCCTGCCTCCAGCCACCTCACCAGCAAATCATCCCACAGCAGCGGGGCTGGGCTCACGAGCACAGCGCTAACACTAGAACCACGATAAACACCTATAAATGGAATTCTCTTGGACTCACCAACACAAGACTCTGGAGGTGTGTTTTGTTTGTACGAGTCAGTGATCATTTACACTCAAGTTTTCTGAAGAAAGGCGAAAAGAACTGAGGATTAAGTTCTCACACTGATCTCAAGAGGACCATGGGCAGCCAAGTACTCACATCAACTGCCCTGCTGACAACACACACAACACCCTAGGAAATCAATCTGGCTGGTGCACAGGCTCATTTTTCCTGGCATTTGTACCTCTCTTCTAGCACGAAGTATCTATCCCTCTGCTAAATGCAGTAACCACCAGAGCACTCGTTCCAAAAATACAGTCCCCCTGAGCGCTGGCACCGTTATCGATGTTCTCTCAGCAACTCCGTCATTCTGAAGAAGGTGGAAGGAAGAAAAACACCGATCAGTTTTCAAGGAAGACATGCTGGCCCAAGACCCGATTTAACTGCCAGCAAATCCTACGGGATAGTTTTCAACCAGACCAATCAAGTGCCAATTGCAAGCATGGCTTTGGAAGGGTGCCATGAGAGGAGTGGCAGAATCCCGGGGAGAAACAGCTGTGTTCCCCTGAAGAGATCCAGAATAAGAAGAATTACATATATATATAAAATAACTCTATATATGTGTGTGTGTCTGTATATATATTATATATATGTATATAATATGTGTATATATATATACATACACATAAAATATTGTTTTAAACTGGAAGAGGACAGATTTAGACTGGATTTCAGGAAGAAATTCTTCACTGTGAGGGTGGTGAGGCACTGGCACAGGTTGCCCAGGGAAGCTGTGGGTGCCCCCTCTCTGGAAGTGTTCAAGGCCAGGTTGGATGGGGCTTTGAGCAGCCTGGTCTGGTGGGAGGTGTCCCTGCCCACGGCAGAGGTTGGCATGGGTGAGCTTTAGGGTCCCTTCCAACCTGAACCAGTCTGTGACTCTATGATAATCCTTTCAATATGACCTGAGACAAGAAAGATGCCCATTTCTTCTCAGAGGAAGACAAAGGCATGGACACTTCTAACAAACTCAGATCAGTCAAGGACCGTCACACGCAATAGTCCTGTAGCCATGACACACCACCAAGCAAAGCTTCAACGTCCACTGTTTATGAGTAAATGGGGAATCAGTAAGACACAGGGAACACCAACAGCATGCGAGTACAGGGCTGATTATGTGCATTGCCTGACACCCTCATTCCCTGCATCCAGATATATATTTTGCAGCATAATTTGGTTCCAAAATCTAATCATTTATTTCAGTGGAAAAAACTATACAGGTTTCCTGACTCAGGGCACAAAACTGCAGCTTCTTGATGACACAGACAAGAAATTGAGATGCTCTTTTCCTCAAGTTCAAAGAGATTTCTGTTTTGCAGAAGCGGAGAAAGGAACAACTGCAGATGTGTAACTCCTGCTCTCTCCTCTGACAGCGTTAATTGCCCTATTAAGGCAAACCACAAAGACTCTCCACTTCTTCCCCAGAGGTAAGAGCCCACCAACCAGCCGTACCTTCTGTCTTCCAATCTAATTCACCACGACTTCCTCTAGGGATAAACTAAGGACACATTTAGCTACTCAAGTCTTTTGAAAATGTTTGGCTTTATTCTTTGGTTTTCCTAGAGTTGTCACAGAACTTTAAGATAGCACTGCACTAGGAAAACAAAACAACCTGCTGCCCGTTTTAAGGCCATGTAATGTAAACTAGACTGAGTGGAAGTGGGTTACAATAGATATCCTGATTCAAAACGAAAAACATTCAATCACAGATTAAATCAAGAATATGGTTACCTATCTAACAAAGGGCAGAAACAGCAAAACATTTATTTTTCCATTTATTGGCACTTATTTGAAAAATAGCATAAATATTCAAGAGAAAGGAGACAAGACGACTCACATGCAACTATTAAACCCCTCCACTGATGCACCTTTTAAAAAAGACTGGAAGAGACACCAGGAGGTTCACTCTTATGAAGTAAGCAAGATTAAAAAAAAACCCAAACCAAACCATCTTGCCCTCAGCACAAGAGTGAATGCACAGCAACTCTTTGGCACATACCTGAAATTGTGAAACAGAACTGCGCTGTATTAGACAGCGAGCAAACAGACACTGAACACAAGCTTGTCCATCTGCCACAGGGATGAAGGGCAGCCTGAATTTCAAAAGGAACTGCAATCAGCAAGTTGACTATTACAATAACTTAAGAGGAATGAAATCAGAAGTAAACCATGTCATATCTTACTTGAACGGAGTAAAACTATTGAATACATTCTGGGTTTTTTTTCCTACAATAAGGACATATGGAAAGTGGTCGCTGGTCCTCAGGTCACTGGCTCTTTGCACTCCAAGTCCTCCACTTCCAATTTTGGTGGCTGCTGGCAATCAAAGCTTCAACCATCTGAATCTTTCACAGCAGAGTTCACAGTGGGCTTTTCTCCTACTTGAGAAAGTTTCCATACTGTTCTCACTTTATCACACATTACAGAGATTTAGTGTTTAAAAATAAAACATTCTGCTTCATTATTAACCTCTCCGGAGAGAAGACTTGAAATCACGTAGTACAGATGGGTACACACGGGGACCCAGCTGAGGGAGTTCAATTGTGTAACAGGAGCCACCAACCAAAATGAGGTTGCCACTGGAAAGTTCAGAACAGCTGTCTGTGGTGCGGTTTACTCACTTTTCCTCCTATTGGGGGAATTTCAGAGTTGAGATCAGGATGCCTGAAGCCACTGTTTTTACAAATACAGTACACGAATCTTCAAACACCTCCGATTACCAAATTCTAGGCTTCCAATCAGCACCTGAAGTTTTCAACAGCAGAAATAACTTGACGCCATTGTTTGAGGAAGAGACATCAGGAGATTAAACACGTTTGATCGCCTCAGCCTGTAAAAAGGCATTCCAGATTCCTCACTGCGTTTGTCCAACAGAAGTCATCTATGAGGACAAATACCACCTGTCAAAATAATGCACTTCTGAAGTACTAAATACTAAAACCTCAGGATTTAATGTTTTGTTCCAAATATTATTACTATTTTTCCCTACTAAGAGACCTTGAACAGAGCATCTACCACTCTAATATATCACCTAAACGCGGAAGAAAATAATACAAAAACCCAGAAGAATGTTCCACACATAATTCAGATTTAGTCACAACAGCGGTCATGATCATGAATAAAATCCCACATACAAATTTAACAATTCACCCACTTGTTCTTTTGACATCGGAACACAGAACTGATTAACAGCCAATCATAACAAAACACAAGAATCAATTCCACCTCCTTAATATCCTCCCTTTCATATGAAGCAAAAAAATATAAATATCTAACACTCAGGGAACAAAAACAAGTTAGTAAGCTGCTTTGCTGGTTTCAGACCGATTACAAAAGTGGAAAAAGTTATGCAGAAGCACCACTTTGTGTCAGGACACAGAAGACCCCACCTGCTGGCTGATGGAAAGCCAAGTCCTCCACAAGCGGAACGTACAGATGGGATTTGTAACTTAGGCCACAAGACGATATCCACTGTGAACCAAGAGCTTGCTTACTGCTGGCAGCATCAAATATGTTTGCAATTCAAGTGCTTACTGTATTTTAATAAATGTCATAGCAAATCACTAGAAACGTGAATTCCTCCCCAAGGAACTATTCCACAAGTTTTCTAGAAATAATGACATTTCTGGAAGTTCCTATGAGGAACAGAGTAAGTTACACATAACAGAAAGTCTTTTTGGTATCCAGCCTGTTTCTTGGTTTCCATTAGCAGACAGCCACTTCTCAGTTAATAGGTAACTTCGCTGTAAGATCTACCGGTAAAAAAGGAGATCTGGAGTCAGCCAGTGAGACTGGAGAGTCTGTGCTGGTGCCAACTTCAGCTGGCGAGTCACAGGAAGAGCCTGCACTGCTTCTGTTGTCATCGAGAGCATGCGACGACAGACTGAAAACAGATTAACACCAAGACATGAGAAGGGAGGGACTCTTTCCGGTAAGTTTCAAATACCAGCTTCCATTCATTAGAAAGCCATGTTAAAAACAAACGTACATTTGTTTTTAAATGTACAAAGGGGTCTTATTTGTCAGGAGGCATCTTTTGTCAGGAGAGCTGACAATAAACTGTACATACTTCAGTTGTACTGTTCACTACATATTTGGCAGGACACAAAGTTGTAACTGTAGGTGATCTATCATCAAGTGACAGCATCAAAGTGTTTTTTACAATTACCATCTTGGAAACCAAGATGCAGCAGCCAAACCTGACCGGCTATGCCTACTATGAATAGGGTGTGCAAAAAAGGTATGTTTTTAACGTACCTTTAAAACATCTATTTTATTATTGCCCCTGCAATGGGCTCAAAGCTTGTGCACAGCTATGTACATTAGCTGAAAGACAAAAGGGACAAATGTACTGTGAATAAACCTGTCTTGATAGTTGTGTGGGCACGCACTATGTATTATTAACCACTTGACTAAAATACTGAATCAAAATTCCTCGCTATTTGAAGTCATTACGATTTTTTTTTACACAGAACTTTTTATCTCCTCCCAGCAGGGAGGGTCAGACAGACTCATGTTTCTGTGTGACTAAGAGCAAGGAAAAAAGGAAGGAAAAAAAGAAAGAAAAAGCCCTCAATCCACTCACAAGCAGTAGCATTCATAATTGACTGCAACTTGAAAGTAGACTCCAAAAGTTGCCACCCATGAGATATCTTTTCCTAAAGATGCTCAGCCTCCATACGTGTGAAGCCTGTTAACAGTCAGCCCTAGAAACTGTAAAATTGTAGCGAATCTTACTGCCTGTTTACTGTGGTAATTTCAGTGCTTCAAAATTACGGGATATCTGTATTAATAAAAATAATAATAGTAAAAACCCTCACAATTTCAAGCATGATCTTTGCTAGATGAAACAAAGACTTGCAGTGCTTCAGATGAAACCAACAATAAATAGCACAGCATTTACCATCCCTCCAGGTCCGCCTGATGTGAAACTTCAGGGGAAAGCATGTTGGTGGATCCTTGGAATAATCTTTTTGGATGATCTTCTATCTCTGTTACACCTTGGGTAAGAGAGGAGTGATAAAAAATTACTATTCATTCAAACTAAAATCCACTTTCAATGTACCTCTACAGAGCAAACGTATTATAGAGGTTGAAACTTATCACAATCTATTGAGTGATGTTTTATATGTAAAACAGAGAATTTCAATGCTGTAATTTTAAAGATTGGTTGTTTCTTGGAAACATTCTAGACCAAGCTTCAGGAAAGTTTAGTGAGTTATGAACTCAGGTTTAGGTATCAGATATTCCTTCTTCGGTAATGGAGAATATTTCTTTTTGTTCCAGTTTATTCAGCCACCAGTTCATTAACCAGCTCCATCAGAGTAGATAAGCCAAGAATAAGAAAAACTTCCTTTACTCTTGCAATCAATATAAACAGGGTCCAGGATTATCACTAAACACATCATGGAATACCAGGTTGGAAAGGCTTTGATTTCCCAATACTCAAGAAGAGGGGAAGTGTTCTGTTACACAGGTGAAGCACGTAGGTCTATTAAAAACCAGATACAACAAAATAGCCAGAAGTTAAAACTTGAAGGAAAACTTAGGAGGATAGAGAAATGTTTCCCAATAAAGCAGTAAGGTGTTTACCAGGTCTCTGGATCAGTTTTTGGGTTTTACCACAGATTTAAAATAATCGGAAGGATTATTTTAAAACTACAGTACCTGTGCACTTCAGACAGCCAGGACCTTCAACATTTTCTATTTGTGCAGTGAAATATACCAATAGTTGTAGTTCTTGTTTTGTTAAGCAGGTTACATGAGTTTCTTATCAGTTCTACATGGCTACAGCAATGAAGCAGCACTAGAAAAGAACAACTACTAGTTTTACAAATAGTAAAAAATCAATTTATCTGTTTTACCCCTGCAAATAGTTCCATTTACTTGGTCATCTGTAATATCCTCTATTTCCAGTCACTCTCTGAAATATCAGCCAATTGAAGAGTTATGAAGAAAGCTACATGGATTATTACAAAATTAACAAGCTGTCTTAACGTGTTAGCCAAATCAAAATACACTGTACCTTTCCTTTTTATTGACCCAAGAACACTCGGTCGAATACAGTTAATTGGACTCTGGCTCCTCCTGCTAAAAGAAGGCATATGCTATGCTGACATCACCAGTAATAAAGGAAGCCTGAAAACATGCAAAGAATCAAAAGATATTCAGATAAGAAACTACTAAGTGGAAAACACTAAGACAGCAGGCACTAAAACAGCTTATCCAAAGTAAGTCTTTTTTTTCATTTTTCCTTTCCCTGAAGAAAAACCAGAAGCACAGACCTTAACAGAAAAAGTTTAATCACGTTATTTCACAGCTGGGGCAATGTCAAGGCTCACATCTAGGCACTGGCTAGATCTCAGCTGTCAGGCAGTACTTGACTGAACTGTTAGGGCCTAATAAAACTTAGCTGTATGCCCACATCACTCAAAACAAGATCCAAAGCAACTAAAACCACAGTCACTAGGAAATCCTGAATATCTTTGGGCATTATTTCCCCCTTTAGAATTAAATTCAATTACTTAAGATTTGATTAAGAGCAATACGGACACTACACTGAGAAGACATATCAAAATGCCAAGTGCTGGGTCCTGCGCTTTGGTCACAATAACCCCATG